GACTCTGAGAAAGACTTTGTTGTCTTAAAGAATAACTTTAGATGTCTCTGAGAATAACTTTTATGAACGAAGATGTCTGAGATTAACTTTGACGTCTCTTGGATTAACTTTTGTGGACAAGAGAATATCTTTGGATAACTCTGAGATTAACTTTGATGTCTTTGAAACAACTTTGATGAACGAGAGTGAGTTAGAGATTACCTTTGTTAACTCTGAGAATAACTTTGATGAACAAAGATGTTTTGGAAAGTTTCTCTGAAGAACGAAAGTGACTCTGAGAATAACTTTTGTTAGCTCTTTGAATAACTTTGATGACTTTGAGAATGACTTCTGAGAACATGGGTAGTATTTGAATGCGTCTTTGATGTAATGAAAAGTAACTTTGATGTCTCGAAGATATCTTGCAGATCAACTTTGATGACAGAGATTAACTTTTGTTGTTTTAGAGATTAATTTGATAGCTCCGAGAATAACTTTTATGCCTCTGAGAATAACTTTGAGGATGCAAGTAAATTTTTGAGTGTTTGAGAGTGTCTTTTGATATCTCGAAGAGTCCCATTGAAGTCTTAAAGGATATCTTTGATGTCTCAAAGGATGTCTTTGAGTGCAACTTTGATGTCTTTGAGTAAGTCCTTGATGTCTCGAAGAGAGTCTTTGACTATATTTCTTACTTAACGACATATAATTTTAGTTAGGAACAACGATGAATATGACTATTCTAGCGAAGTGAAAGGTTACTTTAGTTAAGAACAGTGTTGGAAAGAGGTTACACATGACTATTTTAAATGAGAAAAGTGATATTTCAGTTAAGAAATGACAAGGAAACATGATGAAGTAACTATTTTTTAGTTGACTGATGAATACTTTAGTTAAGGAAAAAGACAAAACATGACGAGGGAGACTATTTTTGTGCTCCCCAAAGTATAATGTCAGTTAAGAACAGCGATGAAAGATATCTTTGGTTATTTTTTCTTACTTGACAAAACATAATTTTAGTTAAGCAAAAAGACAAAAACATGATGAACATGGCTTTTTCTGTTGATTGATGGATAATTTTAGTTATGAAATGACAATGAAACATGAAGAACACGGTTATTTCTGATGACTGGGGAATAAGTTTAGTTAAGAACAGTGCTGGAAAGATTCCTTTGACAATTTTTCTTACTTAGCGACATATAATTTTAGTTACGAAAGTGTTGAAAAAGTTACATTTGACTATTTTTTAGTGCTCCACAAAGTATAAATGTCAGTTAAGAACGACGATGATAGATATCTTTGACTATATTTTCTTACTTGACGAAAACATAATGGCTGTTACGAAATGATGAATATGACTTTTTTCTGTTGATTGATGGATAATTTTAGTTATGAAATGACAATGAAACATGAAGAACACGGTTATTTTCTGATGACTAGGGAATAAGTTTAGTTATGAACAGTGTTGGAAAGATTCCTTTGACAATTTTTGGTTGATTGGATAATAAGTTAGTTGAGAAATGAGGAAAGTGACTATGTTTTAGTTGATTGGCGAAAGATTTTTAGTTAAGAAGTTACAAGAAAGGTTTGTCTTTGTAAATTTGGAACTGAATAAAGTGTAGATTTTGTTTACGAACGGGGTTGGTAGAACTATTAAGTTGACTACGAGAATTACTTTGACATAGTTTTGCAAATAAAAACTTGGTGACTAAAATTGTTGAGGGAACTGTAATGCAGTATAATATTATTTGACAAAGAACTAGTTAGTGAATGGAAGAAACAAAGAACATAAAAAAAATTGAGGTTAAGTAAGGGAATGAACACAGTGAACATACGGTGAACACAGAAAACATGTAAGAAAAAGTTGATGAATAGAGTGAACGTGAAGGGAATATGAACTTAGAGAATATGAAGACATGATAAGGAACATAGGGAATACAAAGAATGAACACTGAACGTGTGAAGAACAAGCTAAGAACATTGAGAACATGAATATTGAGTATAAAAGTTATACAGAGAACATGAAAACATGATAAGGAGAATAGGGAATACAAAGAATGAGCAATGGACTTGTGAAGAACATGGAGAATATGACAAAGAATGTAGAAAACATGTAAGTGAAGGTGAAAAACGAAGTGATCTTGTGAGGAACATGAACTTGTAGAGGAACATGAATATTGACAAAGAACACAAAATATGGAAGTTAGCATGAATATTGAGTATAAAAGTTGTAAAGAGAACATGTGATGAACATGAAAACATAGAAAATATGACTAGAATTTGTAGAGAACATAATGAGACTAAGAGAAAGATTACAGAAAAAATGGAGATACTTGTGAAAATATGAACTGAATGGGACTGTGAACATTTGAAGAACATAGTGTGAACACGGATGAGAATACGAAGAACACAGTGAATATAGAGAAAATATGCAAATACAGGGGGACAAGAGCTGGAGCTCAGTAACTGACTTGATCTTATTTACTACGTCTGAAATATGACTGTTTAAAATTTCAGGGGGATTGGACTGCTAGTAGCGAAAATGTGGTCTCTGTCAAATTTGGGTCTTTAATTGAACTCTGATTAATTTCGATCATGAACTGGACTCTGAATATTTTGGCACAAAGTAGACTCTGGCGAATTTTCGGTATAAACTGGACTCTGATGAAATATAAGCTAAAAACTGTCTCTGACTAATTTTGCTCTCAAAGTAGACTCTGACGAATTTGCTAGAAAACTGGACTCTGATGAATTTCGATCAAGAACTGGACTCTGATGAAATTTGAGCTTAAAACTGTCTCTGACTAATTTTGCTCTCAAAGTAGACTCTGGCGAATTTCTGTTGATAATTGGACTCTGATGAAATATGAGCTGAAAACTGTCTCTGACTAATTTTGCTCTCAAAGTGGACTCTGACGAATTTTGAGCTTAAACTATTTTCTGACTTAAATGCTTATAAAACTAAATGTAATGGCTAAGATGTCTGTTTTCCTTAACAAATTGTCTAAGACAGTATTTGCTGAAAATGGTCTTTTTACAAAATTTGGTCATAAACATATAAATAAACTTCTATGATTATTTGAAACTCTGAAATATTTTCTTAAAACTGATCTCTGAAAAAAATTGAATTTCCCCCATAAGAACGGTTAGCAAACTTCTAAAATCTCAGAAATTATGTTCCTTATAAGAATTCCTTAATTCCAAATCTGTGACTGCCCAAATTCACCTGAAACCCCCGAAGATCCACAGACGAATTTCCGATGTTGAAAACAGGCACAATATGTCCGTAGATTTTACCTGGAAATGCTGTGACACAAACACTATATTTTCTAAAATATTTCTATAAGATTTTCCTACTTATTTTTCTCATAAGAACGCTTAACAAACCTCTAAAATCTCAGAAATTATTTTTCTCATAAGAATTCCTTAATTCCAAATCTGTGACTGCCCAAATTCACCTGAAAACCCCAAAGATCCACAGACGAATTTCCAAATTCACCTGAAACCCCCCAAGATCCACAGACGAATTTTCTGAAAAAAAAAATTCGTCTGTGGCTCTTACTCCCTACTACTGACACCCACCCATAACATTAGCCACCCTGGGTGTTGACACCCACTCATAACATTAGCCACCCTGGGTGTTGACACCCACCCATAACATTTGCCACCCTGGGTGTTGACACCCACCCATAACATTAGCCACCCTAGGTGTTGACACCCACCCATAACATTAGCCACCCTGGGTGTTGACACCCACCCATAACATTAGCCACCCTGGGTGTTGACACCCACCCATAACATTAGCCACCCTGGGTGTTGACACCCACTCATAACATTAGCCACCCTGGGTGTTGACACCCACTCATAACATTAGCCACCCTGGGTGTTGACACCCACCCATAACATTAGCCACCCTGGGTGTTGACACCCACCCATAACATTAGCCATCTTGGGTGTTGACACCCACCCATAACATTTGCCACTCTGGGTGTTGACACCCACCCATAACATTAGCCACCCTGGGTGTTGACACCCACCCATAACATTAGCCACCCTGGGTGTTGACACCCACCCATAACATTAGCCACCCTGGGTGTTGACACCCACTCATAACATTAGCCACCCTGGGTGTTGACACCCACCCATAACATTTGCCACCCTGGGTGTTGACACCCACCCATACCATTAGCCACCCTGGGTGTTGACACCCACCCATAACATTAGCCACCCTGGGTGTTGACACCCACCCATAACATTAGCCACCCTGGGTGTTGACACCCACCCATAACATTAGCCACCCTGGGTGTTGACACCCACTCATAACATTAGCCACCCTGGGTGTTGACACCCACCCATAACATTAGCCACCCTGGGTGTTGACACCCACCCATAACATTAGCCACCCTGGGTGTTGACACCCACCCATAACATTAGCCACCCTGGGTGTTGACACCCACTCATAACATTAGCCACCCTGGGTGTTGACACCCACCCATAACATTAGCCACCCTGGGTGTTGACACCCACCCATAACATTAGCCACCCTGGGTGTTGACACCCACCACGTGGACAGGAGACTGACAGTCACAGGGACATAGGAAGAATGTCATTTAACAGGAAAATTAGGAAAATCATTCACGTATGAAACAAGGTTCCTACTAGAGCCGAGGCCAATGGCCTTAAAGGATACGTTAAGGAAATAAAAACCTCACCACTTTTTTGAAAGTATAGTCATCATGGGAGATATGATAACGGCATACAAGATCCTAGGAGCCATTGGTATATGAGACACACAAACAATGTGCGTCACTGGATAATAGAGACCAGTTACAAACATAAATAATCTGCCATAATAAAGTTCAATTTAAGAAATTAAAATGAAGAGAACAGACTTTCAATATAGATAATTATGACGACTTAATATACAGCTTTATAATCAATATGACCAGACAGCATAACACATAAAGGCGGAGCTTAGGAGCTGACGCCTGACCCCAGGGAAGCACATGTAGGTCAGTACTCACTTGTAATAGAAGAGGCTCACAGGAGGTATTAATGACGTCACGGATCTGGGCATAGGTCCAGTGGGAGAGGTCAAGGGCACTGTCTGCCCCTCCTGACCCCGCCCCCCCGAGGTCACCCGCACACCTGTCATGTGGACACATATCTCAATATATTTTTTGTGAGAGAATAATTGTGTTTAATGTAATGTAAAAAAATAGTGATGCAGAAGATGCAGTCTGCTCAACCTTCTCTTTCTTGCTTAATCTTTGTCTCCTGATCGTAGAAGTCTATTAAGCCTGTGAGGCAAGATTTACCCTCCCTGAACCCATGTTGATGGGTTGTCACGAAGTCCCTTCTCTCCAGATGTGTTACTAGGTTTTTTCTCGCATCGCAATCTTCTCCATCACCTTGCATGGTATACAAGTTAAGGACATTGGCCTGTTGTTCAGTGCCTCTTGTCTGTCGCCCTTTTTGTATATTAGGACCTCATTCGCCGTCTTCTATATTTCTGGTAGGTCTCCCGTCTCCAGTGACCTACTAAACACTATGGAGAGTGGCAAGCAAAGTGCCTCTGCACATTTTTATAGTACCCATACCTTGAGGTTACGATGAGGTGTTTTTGGGGCTTAGCGTCTCCGCGGCCCGGCCGTCGACCAAGTCTCCTATGGCGAGATTCCATCTGGACTAACAGCCTTTCTCACGTCCAGATCCAACAGATGCCTCTGTACCTCATCTCTGGTAATTTCGAACCCTTCCAAGGCCTACGGATTTACTGCCACCTATCCTAGCTCAAGGACTTCATCTTGTTCTGTTAGGAAGACCTCCTGGTTTCTCTTGTTGAGTTCTTCACACACCTCTTTATCATTCTCTGTGTACTTGTCCTCACTCATTTTAAGTTTCATCACCTGTTCCTTCACTGTTGTTTTCCTCCTGATATGGCTGTGGAGCAGCTTTGGTTCGGTCTTGGTTTTATTTGCTATATCATTTTCATACTGCCTCTCTGCTTCTCTTCTCACACTGACATAATCATTCCTGGCTCTCTGGCATATCTCTGCTTTTTGTTATTCTGTTAATTCTGAAGTTCCTCCCTGCCTTTTGTTCCTTTCCTTTCCTTCCATACATGCCCTATTAAACCACGGAATCTTCTGTTGCTTCTCACTTTTTTTTTTTGGGGGGGGGGGGGGTGGCGGGATAAACCTGGTTACTGCCTCATAATTTCCTCATAATTTCCCTTTCGATACACCAGTCCCTTGTTTTCTAGTTCTTTTGGGGAGAATATTACTCCTAGTTCTACCAGGTACTCAAATATAAGTACACTGTGATTACTCATTCCCAAGGGGGCTTCCAGCTTAACTTCCCTTATATCCCACTCATTCATGGTGAATATCAGATCAAGCATAGCTGGTTCATCTTCCCCTCTCATTCTTGTCCGTCCCTTGATGTGTTGGATTTAGAAAGTTTCTTGTTGCCACGTCCAGCAGCTTAGCTCTCCATGTTTCTGGTCCTCCATGTGGGTGTATTCACATAGTTGTACTCACCTAGTTGTGCTTGTGGGGGTTGAGCTCTGCTCTTTCGGCCCGCCTCTCAACTGTCAATCAACTGTTTCTACTACTACTTTTTTTGTTTTCTCCCACATCACACACACACACACACACCAGGAAACAGCCCGTGACAGCTGACTCACTCCCAAGTACCTATTTACTGCTAGGTAACAGGGGCATAGGGCGAAAGAAACTCTGCCCATCGTTTCTTACCGGCGCCCGGGATCGAACCCGTGACCACAGGTTTACGTGCCCAGCGTGCTGTCCGCACGGCCACCGGCTCCCATATATGTGGGTTTATGTGTGTGTACTCACCTAGTTGCACTCACCTAGTAGTGCTTGCGGGGGTTGAGCTCTGGCTCTTTGGTCCTGCCTCTCAACTGGTGTACAGGTCCCTGAGCCTACTTGTCTCTATCATATCTACATTTGAAACTGTGTATGGAGTCAGCCTCCACCACATCATTACGTAATGCATTCCACCCGTTAACTACTCTGACACTGAAAAAGTTCTTTCTAATGTCCCTGTGGCTCATTTGGGTACTCAGTCTCCACCTGTGTCCCGTTGTTCGCGTACCACCTATGTTAAATAGTTTATCCTTATCTACCCTGTAAATTCCTCTGACAATTTTGAAGGTAGCGATCATGTCTCCCCTTACTCTTCTGTCTTCCAGTGTCGTGAGGTGCATTTCCCGCAGCCTTTCCTCGTAACTCATGCCTCTCTTAGTTCTGGGACTAGTCTAGTGGCATACCTCTGAACTTTTTCCAGCTTCATCTTAAACTTGACAAAGTACGGGCTCCATGCTGGGGCCGCATACTCCAGGATTGGTCTTCCATATGTGGTATACAAGGTTCTGAATGATTCCTTAAACAGGTTCCTGAAGGCTGTTCTGATGTTAGCCAGCCTCACGTATGCCGCTGATGTAATTCTTTTTATGTGGGCTTCAGGAGACAGGTTTTGAGTGATATCAACTCCTAGATCTTTCTCTCTGTCCGTTTCATTAAGTACTTCATCTCCTATTCTGCATCCTGTGTCTGGCCTCCTTTTTCTACTGCCTAGTTTCATTACCGTACATTTACTCGGGTTGAACTTTAGTAGCCATTTGTTGGATCATTCATTCAGTTTGTCTAGGTCATTTTGCAGCCTCCTACTATCTTCCTCTGTTTTAATCCTTCTCATAATTTTTGCATCATCGGCAAACAATGAAAGGAACGCTTCTATACCCTTTCGGAGATCATTTACATATATCAGAAACAGTACAGGTCCAAGGACTGACCCCTGCGGGACTCCACTGGTGACGCCTCGCCAATCTGAGATCTCACCACTCACAGTGACTCACTGTCTTCTGTGAGGAGATAAGGTACTCCCTTATCCAAAGGAGTATCTTCCCTGTCAGAACTGCCTGCAGCTCCAGCTTTTGCATTAGCCTCTTGTGTGGTACTGTCAAAGGCTTTCTGGTAATTAAAAATATGAAGTCTGCCAACCCTTCTCTTTCTTGCCTGATTTTTGTTGCCTGGTCGTAGAATTCAATTAATCCTGTGAGGCAAGACTTGACATTCCTGAACCCATGTTGATGCTGTGTTACCAAGTTCTTTCGCTCCAGATGTTCCATAAGTTTTTTCGCACAATCTTCTCCATCAGCTTGCATAGTATGCAGGTTAGGGACACTAACCTGTAGTTCAGTGCCTCCTGTCTATCCCCCCTTCTTGTATATCGGGGCTACATTGGTCGTCTTCCAAATTTTTGGCAGTTCCCCTGCTACCAGTGATTTGTTATATGGTATGGAGAGTGGCAGGCACAGTGCTTCTGTTCCTTCCTTTAGTATCCAAGGAGAGATTCCATTTATCCTTTGTCGCATCCAACTCTAGCAAGAGTTCCTTACATCCCTCTGGTAATCTCAAACTCTCCTAATGGTTCCTGGTTAACTATTCCCTATCTTGAACAAAGTTATTCCCTCTCTTATCTCTGGAACTTCCCCTTGCTCTAACGTGAAGACCTCCTGGAATTTCTCATTCAGTTCTTCGCACACTTCCTTGTCGTTTGTAGTGAATCTGTCTGTCCCTTTCCTAAATTTCATTACCTGTTCCTTTACTATTGTTTCATTCTGATGTGGCTATGCAGCAATTTAGGTTGAGTCTTAGCCTTGCTTGTGATCTCATTTTCGTATTGTCTTTCTGCCTCTCTTCTCATCCAGACATATTCATTCCTAGCATTCTGGTATATCTTTCTCTGCTCTCAAGGGTCCTGTTATTCCTATAGTTTCTCCATGCCCTTTTACGTTGCTGCTTAGCTAGCCTACATCTCTGATTAAACCGTGGGTTTCTAATCTGCATTTCGTTGTCTTCCTTTTGGATCGGGACAAACTTGTCTGCTGCTTCCTTACACTTCTGCGTGATGTAGTCCATCATGTTTTGGTCCGTCTTTCCCCTGAGCTCTGTTTCCCATGTTATATCTATTAAGACTTTCCTTATCTCCTCATAGTTTCCCTTTCGGAATACCAGCCTTTAGTTTTCAGTTCCCCTCCTCGAATTCTTTAACCCTTCTTCAACCAGATACTCAAACGTCAGTACACTGTGGTCGCTCATTCCTACTGGAGCCTCGAAACCGATTTCCTTTATGTCTTAGTCGTTCAGAGTGTGTATTCACCTAGTTGTATTCACCTAGTTGTGCTCTGCTCTTCCGGCCCGCCACCTATCACTCAATCAACTGTTACTAACTACTAAAATTTCCCCCCCCCCACTCACACACACGCACACACACACACACTCAAGTGTAATAGTCAAAATATTGGAAAAAATAGTTAAAACTAAATGGGTAGAACACCTGGAGAGAAATGATATAATATCAGTCAGACAGTATGGTTTTCGATCTGGAACATCCTGTGTATCGAATTTACTCAGTTTCTATGATCGAGCAACAGAGATATTACAGGAAAGAGATGGTTGGGTTGACTGCATCTATCTGGACCTCAAAAAGGCTTTCGACAGAGTTCCACATAATTGGTTGTTCTGGAAACTGGAAAATATTGGAGGGGTGACAGGTAAGCTTCTGAAATGGATGAAAAATTTTCTGACTGATTGAAAAATGAGGGCAGTAATCAGAGGCAATGTATCGGACTGGAGAAATGTCGCAAGTGGAGTTCCACAGGGTTCAGTTCTTGCACCAGTGATGTTTATTGTCTACATAAATGATCTAACAGTTGGTATACAGAATTATATGAACATGTTTGCTGATGATGCTAAGATAATAGGAAAGATAAGAAACTTAGATGATTGTCATGCCCTTCAAGATGACCTGGACAAAATAAGTATATGGAGCGCCACTTGGCAAATGGAATTTAATGTTAATAAATGCCATGTTATGGAATGTGGAATAGGAGAACATAGACCTCACACAACCTATATATTATGTAAGAAATCTTTAAAGAATTCTGATAAAGAAAGAGATCTAGGGGTGGTTCTAGATAGAAAACTGTTACCTGAGGACCACATAAAGGATATTGTGCGAGGAGCCTATGCCACGCTTTCTAACTTCAGAATTGCTTTTAAATACATGGATGGCGATATACTAAAGAAATTGTTCACGACGTTTGTTAGGCCAAAGCT